TGGCACTTCTTGTTCTTTTCTTATCCAGCGACAAAAGTAGTATATTGGATGTTTGAATCGACCCATAAGAGATTTGGAGAACCCATCGATTCCTTGACGTAATACTAACAATAGTCGTTGTACTTTTTCATATTTCATGTGCTTATTTTGAGAGTAAACGCACAATTCTATCAAAAATTGTGGACTAGGCACACACACTAAATAACATTGAGTAATATCTAACTATGTTTCCAGTGTTTTCTCTTCTTTGACGATACGATTCCTTGACAATGCACAGGTTCCACATATTTTGCTTTGAAATAGTTATTCAACACAGCTGAAAAGGCATCTAAATCCAGAAAACATTCCTATTACAGACTAGAAGGCACAGTGTGTTTAAGGTATTCATTTCTGATATTAAAATTCTCATTTCAGATTTATTAATATTTGAATATTAGAGCAGTTTCCGGTGTTAGTATGTGATGAGACATTGGCAACACCTCTGAATCTTCCAAATTTTTCTAATGAAAATGTGACCTGAATATTACTGGCTATTTAGCATTCTATATGATACTGCACTACAATTAATTCAGAATGGTAATTAACAAAATTCAGGATGAAAAACGTTTACTTTAGACCGAAAATAACTCCTTATATCTGGCTCAGTTTTCGTGGGCACTATAAATTCATTGTATATCCCCCAAGAATGCCGTTTCATAAATTGGAAAAGTGTGTTACCAAATTATTACAACTTAGCTTTCGAAGACAATTCAAATTCGTAATGTTTTCCAAAACAGAACGAAAATTAAAGCGATTAGGGGGTAGGTTTTTCTTTTAACCTCAATGTACCCACACCGAGATCAACTCTGCATATCTCTTTGGCGCTCTTGAATTCGATATTGAATTTTTGTACTCGATGATTTCCATAATCGGCGACATAGAGATTACCGTGTCGATCGAATGACAAACCGAAGGGCCAATTGAGTTGGTTGGATTGTCCTCCTTCACCGTTTCCACCAACAATGACACTTCCTTGTGTGACTCCTTTGGGCCAACGCATGATTCGATCATTCCATCGATCAGCCACATAGGCAGTGCCCAATTGATTGACAACGACTCCTTGAGGACAAGACAATTGTGTAAGACCATTTCCATATCCTTGACCACCAGCCACGGCAATGCCTTGTTTTGCACCTTCCACCCATTTCATCACACTATGATTCCCATAATCAGATACATAAACTGAATGATCTCGATCGATGAATATGTATTCTGGGCGAGAGAGTTGATCGAGACGATTTTCCAAGGGGAGCAAAGCGGCTCCTAATGTATTCTAGGATCCATCAGGATCCAAAAGGAGCCGCCAGGACCCAAGAAGAGCCACCAGGATCCAAAGAATCCGCCACGATCCATTAGAATCCATCAAGGATGCTATGTTTCAAAGGATTTTGTCACGATTTATGCGCAAAGACTATTAGTCAGAATCGTTTGACAATTATCTAAGGTATTTGCCAGACTCAATACTCAGAATTTACGAATTTAAACTTCAACTTGAAAACCTGTAGTTAATCTTATGCATACTTGTCTACAGGTTCAAAATTTCTTTTTCTCCTATATGAATACCTAGAAAAGCTTGAATATTCAAGTATACAGAAAAAGAAG